ATTAAATGTTATTTTATAAAAAATAAAAAAATTAATATTAAAAGTAATAATAAAAATTAAATAAAAAAAATAAAAAAAATAAATAAATAAATAAATAAATAAATAAATAAATAAATAAATATTTTTTATTGCAAATATATTTTTTTTACTATAGATTTTTATATTAAGATTTTATTATTTAATATACCTGTATTAAATTCATATTTTTTACCCTTTTTTTTTATGTTATTTTTAATTTTATTATATTTATTTATTAAATAATTTTTTTTTTTCATTCATCAAACTATTTTATTTATTTAATTACTATTATAATTTAATTTATTAATTAATAATTTCATAGTTTATATATTTTTTTATAATAATATAATTTTACTTAAACTAAAATTAAAAAAATCTTAGCTTTGTTTTTATAAATTATAAAATATTTTTAAAATATTCTTTTTTAAAATTTTAATATTAATAACAAAAAAATATTTATTTGAATAAATTTATTTTTTGCTATTAATTTTAATTAATATTAAAATGATTTAATAATTTTTAATCATAAAATATAAAAAAATAATAAAATACTTTAAAAATATGTCTTAAAATATAATATTTACCTCTTGTTATATATTAATTCATTAAATCATTTCAATATTATTGTTTAATATAAAAAAATATTTGATTCTATAATCATCTAAGTGTTATCTTTAAAAAATAAAGTAATATTATGTTAAAAAAATTTTATGATAAAAAATTTCAAGCTAATATATTTATTTTTATTTTAAATATTTATAAATATATATAAAATATTTAAAAATGTTTCTAAAATTAAATAATAATAATTTTTTAATAAATTGTTAAAAAAAAGTATATATTTATAATCATATGATAAAAATCTTATTATAATTGTTAAATTTAAAAAAATAATGCATAAATAGATAAAAAAAAATTACTTTAAAATTAATAAATATATATTTTTTTTAATTTAAAAATTAAAATTATATAATTATAAAATATTTTTTTTAATGTTTTTATATAATTTTTTTATTTATCTTTTTATTAAAAAATAAAGTTAAAAAATATTTTAATAATAAAAAAAAAACAGTCAGCAACAACCACCACCATTTTTTTTTTATATTCTTTCATTATTTTTTATGTTAATATTTCCGTTATTATATTCTTTTTCTAAAGCCAATTTCGCTATATATTTAAAGGCATCTGATACATTCTATCCACTTTTAGCTGATGTTTCGAAATACTTTACACCATATTTTTCTGCTAAATCTTCTCCTTCTTTTTAACTAACTTTTCTTTCCTCTTTCATATCGCATTTATTTGCAATAATAATTTTTTTAACATCCGCGTTAGCATGTTCATTTATTTATTTCATCCAATCAATTATATTTTTGAAACTATTAGGATCTATTACACTATAAGCCAAAATAATACCCGCAGCTCCTTTATAATAATTAACTGTTATTGTTTTAAATCTTTCTTAACCTGCAGTATCCCAAATTTATAATTTAACTCTTTTTCCATCAATTTCTTCTTGTTTTAATTTATAGTCAATGCCTATTGTTGTTAAATTAACATTTGTGAATGTTCCTTCGCAATAATTCAATAAAACACATGTTTTTCCTACTCCAGAATCTCCTATGACTAAAAATTTTAATATTGCATCATAATCTTATTTTTAATTCATTTTTTTTTTTAGAATTTTTTTTATTTTGTTTCTTTTTTTTTCTTCTTTCTTTCTTTCTTTCTTTTTTTTCTTCTATTATTATTTTATTTATAATTTTATTTATTTTTAAACTTTTTTTTTAATAGAAGGTTAATAATATTATTGAATAAATATTTATATTATTTAAATATGTATGATAAATAATTTTTATTTTTTTGTTATTTTAGTTTTTTTCTATTAATTTACAATATGTTTATTAGAATTTGCTTATATAAATAGATGTAATTAATTTTTATAGAATTTATCAAAATAACTAATATAAATATTACTTAAAAATGAAATAAATTATACTGAAAAAAAAAATATTATCATTAAAATTTATTAAAAAAATAATAATAAATTATATATTATATTTTAATTATTATAAACTATAATTTATATTAATAATAATTGAAAAATATTATATTTTTATATATAGTAAATTAAATATAATTAAAATTTAATTTTTATAAAAATGAAAATTATTTATTAAATTTATATTATTATTATCAATATTTAAATATTTTTTTGAATTATTAATTTAATTAAAAAGTCATTAATAAATTAATAAGAAAATTATTTGAATATTTATTTATGTATTTTTTTATATTTATATTTATATTTATATTTATATTTATATTTATATTTATAACCATAAAAATTCTTTATATAATAATTCAATAAACATAAAAATTAACAATTAAAAAAATTTTAATTTTTGTTTCTTTTTCACCTTCTTTTTTAAGGTTATTATTACCGTGCTACTTGTCCTTTATTATTTTTATTATTAGTAGGTTATTTTTTTGTGCCATATTATTTCTTTTTTATCTTTCTTCCCTTTCGAATTCTTCTTCCATATCTTCTGAATCTAACCCTTCTTCACTTAAATCTTCATCTCCAGTAAAGTCATCTTCACTATCTTCAGTATAGTCATCATCACTATCTGAAAAATCATCATCACTTTCGTATTCTTCTTCATCACCACTAATATTAAATGATTCATCGTCCAATTCTTATTCATTTTCTTCTTCATTATCCGACTCTCCTAGTAAAATATTCCATCCTCCATCTTCTACAAATCCTTAGATATCTGCTCTAATAGTTTTCAAAATATTTACCAATGCGAAATTTTTAGTAGATTCAAAATATAAAATATCCTAACTATTTAACCAACTTTTTATATTATCAGCATTTTCCATTGGAATAGAAACTATTCTTGTAACTGCTTTTTCGTAATCTTTGAAAATAAATACAAGATCAAAATTCCTTAAACTTCCCTTTTTTTTAAAATAAAATAAAATTATTAAATAATAACAATATATATAGAATATACAATCATTCTCTCAAAACAAGCTAATTCAACATCTTCTAAAGACATAACAAAAAATGGAGTTTCAATAATATTCATAAGAGTATTTTCAGTAGGTTAGAAAAGACAAGTAGATCTATAAGCAGATCCATGAAATCCTAAATTTGAATAAGGAACTTCGAATGAAATTTTATTTCCAATTTATGTTTCTACATCTTTATAAAAAGCCTAAAAATCTTTATTTAATTTTATTCTTCTGGCTTTTCCATCTATTCTTCTTCAATTTCATCTATATCATGTCCACCTCTTCTTTTTTAATCTTTTTTTAAAACAATAAAATAAAAAAATAATAAGAGTATATTACTTAAATCCTCTGGTGGTAAACCAGCTTCCATATAAAATTAAACATCATTAGTTTTTTTTTTTCCGATTATTAAAGGATGATGTAAATGGAAATGCAAAGCAACGATCATTTCATTATCACAAGGTTAAAAGAATGCATGCTTAATATTACTAAATACCAGATCAACTTTTTCATTTCTTGTAGTATATCTAAAACCATTTAAATGTAATTCTAATACTCCTGTTTATTTTTATTTAGAAATAGTTGGTCTCATTTTAAGATTATGTAAAGCAGGTCTTTTTGTTTATCTAATTTAAAGTTTTTCCTATTCGATAATATCTTCTCTTTGTTTTTAATCTTATTCATTTTATTTAATTTTAGTTTATAAATCTTTTATTTTCTTCATTATTTCTTATAAATTCTTACTGTTTTTTGAACGAAAACTTAACTCTTTAATATATATTGATTATGCTTCATTTTTAGGAAACTAAATATTAGATAGATTTCCACCACTAATCTTTTTTTTAATAGAAATATATGATATATAATATAAAAATAAAAACGTATAGCATATTAATATATATTTATAAATATATAAAAAAATATAAATATATATATATACATATATATATATATATATATATATATATATATATTTACTTATTTATATTTTTTTTTAATTTTTTTTTTATTTTTTATTATATATTTTTTTTACATTATGAAAATTTAGTCTTAATGTATATGTTTTTCCTTCATCAATTTTTTAATAATTTTTTATTAAGGAAATATGGAATGGAACTAATTCTCCATTAATAGGTAATAATATACATTCATGCTTTATATCAATATGTATTTGATTTTTCTTAAAATCTTTAGGTATATCATCAATTTATTTAAAGCATTAAATTTTTTCAAAATCAAAATTTTTCTAGTTAGTTTTAGAACTAAAAAAATTATTATTTGACAATCTTTTTTTTAATTCATCAAGTTTTTTCTCTCTTAATTCTAATTAATGAACCATTCTTTCTTTTTCCGATACAATAGTTTTATTTTTATGATAGGCATTTCTAGTTCTACGTCCATCACTAATTATATTTTCCTTTTCCAAGTCATCTTCTTGTTCTTCTTCATCTTAATCTTCGTCTTGAATACTATAAGATACATCTTCGTATTTTCTAGAAACTTTGTAAGTCATAACTGCATTTCTCATTTAAGCGTTTCTAATTGCCACAGTATCCGAAAGCTAAATTGCATATTTTTTACTTTTTTCATTTTCTAAATTATCGAATCCAACTGTAACATTAAATACCATTCCTTCTTCTATTTTTTTCTCATTTTTACTATTTATTTCTAAATTTTTCTCATTAAATTCTAATCCAATCTATTTTTATTAATTAATACATATAATTAATTTTTTATTTTTTTTTAAATAAATATATATAAATATAAAACTCCATATCCAAAATTAGCTGGTAATTTATCTTAAAGTTAAGGTATTTTTTCCTTTATAAATTTTGTTGCTTATTAATATATATCACATAAAGCAACACCTGGCTTTAATTCAATAGCAAGTAAATTTTATAATTCATAAAGTCTTTAATAAATTTTCTTTTAATCACTAGTAGGATCTATAAATAGAGTTCTTACTATATTTGAATGATATTCCATATATCTCGTTCCTACAGATAAAATAATAGTGTCATATTATAAAATTTCTTTATTTGATTCTGCTGATGGTCTATATTAATTTTTTTGTTTATATATTTTATATATTAAATACATATAGAATATTTTTTACTTTAAATCATATTTTCCTCCTGATTATACTATTGGGGTATAAGCTAAATCGGCGCTTTAAACATCTCCTCCAATTTCCTAAAATAAATATTATTTTTAAATTAATATAATTTTATTACTTCTTATATTTTTTTTAGTTCTTTTTCATTTTCCATTAATTCTGCTATTTTAGAAGATATTTATAAATGTGTCTTTTTTTCTTCATTTTCTATTATATTTTCGATTTCTTTAATTAATCTAGATTCTAAATAAACAGACAATTTAGATGCTTTTCCTATATAAGACTTTTTATTAAAAATATAAAAAATAAAAAAAAATGATTTATATATTTTACTATTTCTTATTAATCTTTTATACCCAAGCAATCCTAAATAAAAGAAGAACAATCAACGAATTTTAAGTTGCTTTTATTTTTTGTAAATTCATCGAATTCTTTCATAAAAGGTCCACTTTGTTATTCTTTTAAAATACTACCAATCTTTTTTTATTATATTAAAATAAAAAAACTAATAAAACATAAAAATATAATTAATTGTACTTAAATTGTATCTTTCTTAATATCGTCTGAAAGTAATTAAAATAATTTTTCAATATTCTTACTATTGACCTAAGGATCTTTTTCAATTAATTAAAAATTACATTATTTAGATTCTGCTGCATTTTGTACTTCAGAAAGCATTTAAACTATTTTTATTTTAAAAAAAAATTATAATCATAATTATTATTTTTACTTTTTTTTGATCCTGCTATTAAAACATAAGATTTTCTTGTAATTAATGTTATTGTATCAACAAAATCATATCCAAAATACCAAAGGGAAACAGCTGATGTCTTTTTTTTATTAGATCCTTCTTCTTTACCATTTTTTATGATTAATGCATCAAATGTTTAATATTATGGCTTTTTTTTTAATATAATAATAATTAGAATAAATAAAGACAAAAATAAATATTTTTTTATAAAAAAAAAAAAAATGGCAAAAATTAAATTTACTTAATTAAGAATGAAAAGTAATTATTGATGATGTTTATAAAAAGATTCTGCTTTTATTTTTGACATTGTTGCTTATTTATATATTTTTTTTTTATTTCAATAAAAAATATTATTATTATTATTTTTTCTCTTTAAGGAATTTGAATTTAATTAAAATATAAAGTTCTTAGTTAATAAATTAGTGCAAATATTTATACTTTTATTTTTTGTTTTTTAGGCGCCAATATAAAATAATATTTAATTAATAAATAAATAAAAATATTTTTATTTATATATAAGTCAATTACAAAAAAAAAAAATTTAAAAATCTAAATTAATGATTAAAGTTATAAATTAATGTTTAAAAATATAATTTATTCAAAATAAAATATTTTAATATTACAAATATTTATTTAAATTAATTTACATTTACAATTAGTAAAATTCTATATTTTTTTAAAAAAAATATCAATATTATATACGTTTTCTAAATATATTTTATTATAATGTAAAAAATCTAATATACATACATAAGCATTTTAATAAAAAATTCAAAAATAAAGAAAATAAGAAGAAAATCTTTAAAAAATTAAATATAAACAAATAAATATAATTAAATTAAACATAAAAAAATTACAAAACTCTGAAAATATAATTAAAAATTTATTAAATTAATAATAAACAAAATCAAAAAGACAATAAAAAAACAATTAATTATGAAAAAAGATAAAGGAAAAGGTCTTTAATAATAATAACAAAAATACAAAATATAAATATAAACAATAATATAAAACAAAAGGTCCTTGGACTGCTGATGAAGATGAATTATTAAAATAATGGATTAATTAGCATGGTTCATAAAAATGGTCATTATGTGCAGAAACAATAAAAGGAAGAAGTGGCAAGTAATGCCGAGAAAGATGGTTTAATAATTTAAATCCTGATGTAAAAAGAGGTTCTTGGAGTCCAGAAGAAGATGATACAATATTTAAAGGATATTTACAAAATGGTTCTTCTTGGAGTGTTATAGCAAAATAATTATAAGGTATTTTTTAAAATAAATAGTTAGTTATATTTATAATTTATTTAATTAAAAGGAAGAACTGAAAACTCAGTAAAAAACAGATTTTATAGTACTGTAAGAAAGCTATTAAGTGATTCAGATAAAGTTTAAGTTGAAAAAAATGGGCTTTAATAAAGCTAAATAAGATAACTTATATAAAATTAACTTAGAAATTAATAATAAAAAGACGACAAATAAAAATAGGAAGTTGAAGTAGAAAAAGAATATAAATAAAATTAGTTTGAAAAATAAGAGGATAATATAATGTAAATATTATAATAAATATATTCTTTAATAAATAAGATTAATGATTTTTAATTTAAAAAATTACAAAATTAGATTATATATTTTAAATTTACATTATATAATTATTTTTTATTATATAATATTTTATAATATTTTTTTTAATTAAAAAAATTTCTAAATTAATTCAATAAAAATATTTAAAAAAAAAAAAAGTAAATAAGAAAATACAGAAAACCGTTCAGCTTAACCATTATTTCAAAAAAGAAAATATGTAAGAAAAAAATAACAAGAAGAATATTCTCAAAATAATTTCTTATACAGATTATTGAGAAATAACTAAATAGAAATAAAGAGTAGCAAATGTTTATAGGATTATTCGTTATTTTATAAAAAATATAAATAATAAAAATTATAAAATAAATCTGAAAAAAGTTCAGAATAAAACAGTAAGAATATTTAATAAGATTAATAATATGGATAATATGAATAAAATAATCAAGATGAATAAGAAGAACAGGTTTAATAATAAGAAGAATAGAAAGAAAAATAATAAAATAAATTGCGGTTCTAAAATATATAAAATTATATTTTCAATGAAAAATAAGAATAATTATAAAATCTAATTTTATCTAAATAAAATAATAAGGATTTTAATATTGATTTCTCATTTTTAGAATAAAATTTAGATTAAAAAAATAGTTAATTTTCTTCAACTAAATTTTAACAAAAATTCCTTAAATATTTTAAAAAGAGTATGAACTAATTTCTTTATGATTTCATAAATGAGAAAAAAAATGAAGTAAAAATAAAATAAAATATATATATATATTTAATAAAAAAAGAAAGAATTATTAAGTTTTCTTGCTTTAAATTAAAAATTTAAATTTGAAAAAAATAAAATTTAAATAAATAAACTTTAAGAAAAAAATAATTAAGCTGATAATAATGATATCATAGAAATAATTTAAAAATAAAGAAAATAAAGTTTGTAACTAGAAATAAAATCAACAGGTAACAAATAAAAAGAACCATAATAATAATAACTATCAAATCAATAGATATTTTAATAATAATTTGAACAATAATAAAATTAATAAGAAATAATAAATAATGATTTATGTGCATATAATTCAAATTAAAAATATAATATTATGCCTTAAGACACTTTATAAATTTAAAATTTGAATTCTTTATAAATTTAATAAATAATGCAAGATTAAAATTATTAAGAAGATAATTAAAAAATGACATTTTTAATAAATTAACTTTATTAATTAGAAAATATGTTATCTAAAACAAAATATGAATTAGATAATTTAAAATCTACTTTAAATAATAATGAAAAAGCAGAAAATGCATGCAATTTATAATAATAATTTTATTTAGATAATTATACTGAAAACTATTATCCTAATAATTAATTTATTTTAGAAAAAAATAACTTTAATTTTAATTGTAATAAAAAAATGAATGACTTTTCACAAAGTAATATTTCAAGAAATATATAATGATAATTTAATAGATAATAATTGAAATTTTTAAATTAAAAATTAATATATATTTATATTTTTTTATAAGAATTTTTTTTTTCAAATTATATATACACTTTCTAAATTTAAAATATTATTTATTATACTATATTTAAATTATATAATTATATAAATAAATAAATATTAAATGCTTTTAAAATTAATTATATTTTTTAAATAAATTTATAAATATTAAATATTAATTTTGTAATTATTATTAATAAAAAATAAAAATATATAAAGATTTTTTTTTCACATAATTATATTATTCAAAATAAATAAAAATATTATTTTAAAAAAATAAAAAAAGATAAAGTAAAAAAATAAAATAAATAAAAGAAAAAAATAAATATAATTATATAGTAAATTAAATATATATTTAATTTAATAAATATTTATATTCAAAAAAAAAAAAATCAATAAAAACAAATGTCGTTCTTCTCAGTAATTGCTAAAAATAAAGTTTCAAATTAATCCTTAAGAAATGCTGTTACTGCATTAAAGCCATGTAATATTTAAATTTTAAGACAAAGTTTTTTTTAAAAAATACTATTAAAAAAAGCTTAAAATCAAGAAATAATTACAAAATGGATATAAACCTTAAATAGCAAAGCAAGTTCAGCTGAATCCCGTTCATATTGTGCTTAACTTTCATCTTTAATAAGTTATTACAATAGATAACACACTGAAAAAATTCCAGTATTAAAAAACATATATAAAAATATTTATAACTAAATAATTTTCAAAAAATAAAAAGACCATTAATTGGGAAGAATGGAAAAAATAGATTAGCACAAAAGGATTAGTAGAAAAAGTAAAAGAGAATTATGAAACTTTAATAAGAGAATAATACCAAGTTGATTAGATTGCTAAATAAGTTTTATCTTAAACATCTAAGCCTCTCGATGATATTGTAATTAAATTATTTTATTCTAATTATAAAATAAAATAAAGGAAAATGAATTATCTTTCCATGCTGCTATTTGGTTAAATGCTTATTCTGATTATACTATGTTTTTATTTGAACTAGAAGAATATAATAATCCTAATGTATTTTTATATTTCTTATTTTATATTAAATAATTTTAAAGGAATACCTAATGCATGAAAACTATGACTTCTTTAAAGGATTAGAAGCTGAAGTAAATTATATTTTTTTTTTTTTTTACTTAAAAAATATATTATTTTATTAAAAAAAAAAATAGCTTGAAGAATTAACTGAAAGTAAATTAATAAGATTTTAATAAAATAAAAAATATTTATAACAATTTTATATATTAAATAATACATAGCACATAACTATATTCCTGGTTCAAAGGACGATGTTAACCTTAGAGGATATTTAGCATGCTAGTAAATAAAAAATAATAATAATATTTATGTATTTATTTTAATTAAAAATATAGATTTGCTTGGGGTAAGAAAGTTATTAGGTATTTTTTTATTAAAAATTTAATTTATTATCTATAAATTTAGTTTCTATCGTCATCCTTCTGATGATTTTAAATGCGCAAAAGCCACAAAAAATATGCTTGGTAGATGATTTATTTTTTATTTAGACTTATTAAGATAAGAATATAAATATTAAATAACACCTTACTTATATGAAAAAATAAATAATAATTTTTTGTTATAAATAAAAGTAAATGTTATTTATAAATATTTAAAATAAAAAATATTAAAATAAATTTTAATAATTATTAATTTTTTTTTTTTAATTTACAAGATTATTTATTTTTATTTAAAAGAAAAATAATTTAAGTTAAATTTAAAACATAAAAATAAAATACAATTATATATTTTATAAAAAAGTATTTTATATATATATATATATATTACTTACTTTAATGCTTTTTTTTTTTTTAATAAATAAAAAAAAAAGCCATTTTCAATTTTTTCTCGCCTTTTTTTATTATTGTTAATAATTGAATTTTTAAAATAAAAAACAAAATATAATAGCTAAAAAACAAATTAAAATAAAAAAAAAATTAAGCCTTTGATAAATTTTTGAAAATCACTCAGACTCAAATATGTTAAGAAATAGATTTAAGCATAAATATAGTACCATCTTCATTTAATTTTTCACAAGGAATAAAAGTAAGAACAAAGTTTACACTAACAATTTTTTATTTAACATAATACCTTATAATAAAAAGCACACAAAGAAAAATCAATGATAATATAATTCCTATAAAAATCATGTAATTAATAGTGAATCCTTAAATAAAATCGATACTATCTTAATTATTTTAAAATAGAAAATCAGAAAGTTTTAAAATGGCTAAAATAGGTGATTCAAACACACTAAAAATATATAATAAATTATCTTTATTTTAAATAAAACTAATTGCATAAGAATCTAAAGGAAACTCTAAAACGGAAACTGCTTAAATAAAAGATTAAAATATTGTATAATAAATATGTAAAAGACCCACAATTCCTTCATTTAAAAAGCCTTAATGTTTTTCTGAACATTAAATAAGTTCACAAATATTATTTTGGTATAAATTATCTATATTATTTTTTAAACTATCACTATTTACTTTAATTTTTTTTAAATTATTTTGAAAATTCTGTGTAAAATCTTTTAAGTTTTCAAAACTTTTCTTTTATAATTAAAGCATTTCTGCCCTTTATAATTGAGGAAATTTCTAGTTTTTATTTTTTATAATTTTTTCTGAAGCCAAAATTTCTTATGAAAAGCAAAAAGCAGATAAGCTACTACTTACTTATAAAGAAAAATAATTTAATTATATAGACGGTTTTAAATATGAATGATAGATTTACAAAAAGATTACAATACCTACAAAAAATAAAGTCGCGAAAAGCGAAACTAACATAAGAAACGCAAAATTGTTATTACTATTAATTTTCTAATTAAAAATTTTTGAAGAAAGTACTTAATTACTCACTTTCTTATTTTTTTCTTCTTCTAAATTATACTCTTGACTTAAAATATTAACAAAATCTGTAACTAACCACTCTTAGCTTTAACTATTTAAAGCAAGTTCACATAGCTAAAGTCTTTTTATTTCTTTATTACATTCTCTTTCATACAAGCGACTAGCTAATAGTAAAATTTTTTCGTAGTAATTATTTATTTTTTGAATTTGAGGAAATATTATTATACTATTTTTTTATATATATAAAAAAATGTATAAGTATTATATATATATATATATATATATATATATATATATATATATATATATGGTTTATATAATTTACGAAATTAAAAATAAACTTATGCAAGCCAAGCAAACAAAAATTAATTAGTTATTTAAAATTCTTATTTAAAATTCTTCAACATTTTGATAAATATAATTAAAAATACTATTATTATATTAAGTAAAAAGTACATAATTATGAACTAAATAATAAAATGAATTTATAAATAAATCTTTTTCCATATTCTAATCTAAATTTATATAAATGAAATTTAAAAGAAATAAATATCAATTCATTATATTCAAATGGAGATTCATATTATACGAAATCATCGTAAATTTTTAATTTTTGATCTTTGTCAAAATCAACATTTAAATCTTGTATTTCCATAATAACATTTATATTTTCGTTTAAATCTTTTTTAAATTCTACTATAGCATCTTTAATATATTGACTAAATTATTTTTTATATTCATCAGCATATTAATTCGGTAATATCTAATTTTTAATCATAAATAGACCCAAATAAGAAAGTGCAGATTTTGAGTAATTAAGATTAATTAAATTGACTAGTTAAAATTTCCTAATACTATCCATAATATAATTATAATCCTAAACAAGAAAAATAATAAAGACAAAAATATAAACGACAAAAATAATTATAAAAAATTAAACAAGAAAAATCAAATTAGTGAATTATTTTGGCATTTTTTTGCTGTTTACGATTTCCTTCAATAAATCATTATTAAAAAATCTCTTTTTTGCCGAAGAACTTATAGAGTTCAACTCTCTTGGATTATCGAGTATAGTTTTTTTACCACTTTTTTCTTTTGTTTCTTATATTGTATTTTTGGCATTTATGTTTTTTAAATTTAATGTCTTATTTTATACTTGATTTGATGAAGATTATAATTATTCCTGTTTTTCGTTTGTTATGCCATCGATTTTTTCTAATTCTAATTATTCATCTTTTATACTTTTCCCGAACATATTTTCAAAAGAATTTTAATTTTCAAAATTTTTATTATTAGTATTACCTTTTTACATCCATACACTTTATTTAAATTAATTGGAAGTTTCATTTTTTTAATTTACTTCAAAAACTTATCCTTCATCTAATTCTTCTTATTCTTAAAATTATTATTTTTCTAATTCTTATTCCTATTCTTCTTATTATTAATCTTATTCTTATTAATCTTATTATTATTATTATTAATCTTATTCTTATTTTTATTAATCTTATTCTAATTCTTATTAATCTTATTTTTATTATTTTAATAATAATTTGCTAATATTATCATCAATTTATTTTTCTTCAACTTTATTTTGTACTAAATTTTAAACTAAGTTTTATTTTTTACGTTTAATTATTCAACGTTTTCATTATTATTAAAATCTAAATTAAGTTTCCTATTAGAATCGTCTAATGTTGGATTTTTAAATGAATGTAATTCTTATAAATTTTATACATCTTATAAATAACTGTTATTAATAATAAGAAGTTTAATATAACTATTATCCTTTGTATCCTCATATTATTATTATTATTATTATTATTATTATTATTATTATTTTTATTGTATGCTAAATTAACTTTCATTTGTTTTTCTTACATTTTTTTTTTATTAAGACATTATATTTTGGTTTTTGATAGTCATACTTTCATCCTATGATTATTAATAAATAGTATTTAAATGCAAATTTGAATCGTCTTCATAGTCTTATATTTTATTTATTTCAATTATTTCCATTTGAAAATATGTTGTTTATTATTTTCTATATGTGAGTGTTTGGAAATATAAATTAAATTTTATATCATAATCGTTTAGGCATTAATTATTATAATAATATTATTTATTCTGGCCTATAAAATCTTTTATTGGATGATCTTCATGATTGATTTCTAATAAATTAAACTTAACCTTTATTTTATTTTATTTAATTTATATTCTTTTTTTTTTTTACTTTATTTTCATTTTATTTATTTTGATTTTTATTTAAATATTTTATTGATTTTTATAAATTTATTGATTTATTTGATGATATTTAATACTAATATATATTTTTGAACTGTTCTACTATTTAAAAAAGATCATAAGGTATTTTTAATCTTGAACTTTAATTTTATATCATTAGTTAAGTACTTTATTAATTAACCTTTTTTTAAAAAAATATAAATAATATAAATATATATTATTTTACATTGATATTAATCTAATCTTTAAATTTCGAAAATAAAGTTGAAATTTAAGGTATTATAAATGAAATATTTATATTCTTATAAAAACTTTATATGTTAATAAAATTATTTGTATCTATAGAATCTCTTACAGTTTTTTTTTGCTTAATTTTGGCATTAAACATTAACTAAAATAATTCCTAGTCTATACCTTAAATAATACCATATTAATCAAACAAAATATAATTTAAATTATTATCAAATTTTTATATTACAGAGTTCATAACAAAATCATCATAATATCCATCTTAGTTACATATATATATATTTATTGGTGTAATAAATCCCTATTTTATACAATAATAATTATAAATACAAAAAAATTATTTCTCTTTTTTTACTTATTTATCCATAAAAAAAGTTTTATTTATATTCATAACAAGTTTTGAATAACCTCTATCAAGCATATTTGTTATTAATTAATTGTGTATATTTTTTAGAAATGAAGGCATTAAATCATTTATATAAGTTAATTACTTAAAATCTTGTAATTAATAATTAAAAAAATTCGCTATTTTATTATTTGATTTATTTAATATTCTGCCTCTATCTTTTGAGATTGATATTTTTAATAATTGCAAATTCCCTTTAATAATAGTGTAATTTTGGACAATATCGTTTCCTTTATTAGAGTCTCTTTACAATAACTCATAAACTATGTTTTCTTATTTTAAAGCCGAAACAAAATCATTTAAAATTAATGCAAAATAAATTGATTTTATTCTAAAAAACGTAATATTTTCTTTAGCCCAATTTAAATTTAATCTTTAATTTTATTTATATTTAATTTTTTTGGTTTTTTATTTTTTTACTTTTTTAATTAATTTTAATATTCATTTTTTAATTCTAAACCTAAATTTGATAATTATATTGATGCTTATTAAAAATTATTCATATTTTGAAAACCTTCGGTTTTAAGCTTTTACCAAAATTTATATTTTAATTAACAATAATTTCCTATTCTTTTAATTAGGTTTTTCTAAAAATTATCAATTTAATCTAATGCTTATATTGAAAATTCTTAACTAATTTAATTACTATGTGAACTTTTTTTATATTCCTTTATATTTTATTATAAATAATTTTATTAATAATATATTATATTAAAAATAACTTATTCCATCATAAATTCAATATTTTTGGACATAATTTTGGATATAGATTAGAAATAAAAAGAAATTTTCTTACTTTTAGAAAGTAAATATTTTAATTCATTATATGCTTTAGGTGAATTGTTTCTATATTTAGCTAAGTAACTTATATATTTAAGGCTCAAATGTTCAAATTAAATTTAATCATTTATAAATAATTTATTTCTTAAACAATATTTAAAAATGGAACTAACTAAATTAAAAATATCTTCAATTAAAATATCTCTATGTTTATTTTTAAAATCAGAAACATGACAATAACATTCAGTATCTAAGCAGCTTTCTTAGTGTGAAATAAGAATACAAAAAAGCTTGAATTTAAATTATTCATTTTTTTTATATTCAATAGCCATTTCTATGATTTATTCTAAATAAAAATCTACCTAAGTATAATATAAATGAATATTTTATTAATTCATATTCATAATGACAGAATACTATTTAAATTTAAAATAATTTATTAATAATAAGAGAAAAATATTACATTATAATTATAATATTATATGAAAACAGAACTTAATAGTACACCAAAAACAACATAATAATAAAAAATTTATGTATTCTCAAGTTTATCAGAAAGTATATAAACACTAGTCAAAATCATCGAAATAATATAATAAATAGTAGAAGTGATGTAAAATTTAGATATGAAAGATTAATTAAATGGCATGTTTTTTAAAAAATCATAAATAAGTAAAACGTTTAATATATTACTAAATATATGTTTAACAATAACAATTATATCTAAATTTAAATAATAAAAAAATGTTATGCTAAAACGCAACCCTAAAATTATAATAAGAATGAAATTATATCTTCTCTTTAAACAGTTTTATTCTATAAACTCATAATTTCTAAAAAATATTATTATTATATATCCAAATAAATTACTCATTATTAAACCAACAATACCCAATATTCTTATAAAAATAGGCTTTTAAGAACAATCGGCTTCTACGAATCTAAATTCTACTAAAAATGAATTTAGACCACAAACATACATTCCGGAATTTATTTCTATGTATGGAGTAAAAAATATCCACCAATATAAAGTTAAAAAAATATTAAGAACTTGATTTGTACCTGTTATTGATCTTTTATAGCAAGCAACAAACTCTTTATAATTTAGTTTTAGAACAGATAAAATTATCGTATATCCTATAATTGATATCATTATTATATCCATTGCAAAAAAGACTATTTTAGAAAGTATATCACTTCCTTTGAAAAATAATAAAAACGTACCAGGTGATATTTCATTTATCTTTGCAACGAATAATATCTTTTGATCTGTCAATGGTTTTATTTCATATGACGATAATATATATCCACCTAATTAATGGTAATATGCTAATATTAATATACAGTATACTATATTTGGTATTATGAAATTTGGTTTATCTTCTATTATTTCTAATAATGTTTAAAAATAGTTACTTAAATAATCTTTTTATTTTTTTTAATTCATTTTATTTGTTTGCTTTTTTAAAATCGTTTTTTATTTTTGAAATTTATATATAAAAAAAAAAAAAAAAATGTTTTTTTTTGAAATAAAAAAATATTTAAAAAAAATATATAATTTAAAATTATACATTTAAATTATTAAATATATTTTTTATTATTTTAAAAAGTGATATTTAAATTAATTAAAAAGGAACATTTGATTATATTATATTTTAAATCTTTATAAAATAAAACACTATATACATAAAATTCTATTATAAATAAAAAGATATATTTTTAAATATAAAAAAATAAAAATTAATTCGAAAATAATTATTATAATAATTTATATATGATAATATTTAAAATTATAAAAATATTTACATTTTATTAAAACAGATGAAAAATAAAATTATAATACTAAAAAAAAATACATTTATTCAAAAAAAATAATAGAATTATTAAAAACACTTAAATAATTATATAACAAAAAATCATCAAATTTAATATTTTCTTAATAATAATTCTATTCCTTTTTTATAACCAATAGATTTATCATAACCAGAAGCAAAAGCAATTGTAGCATTATCTAAATTATTATTTTTTTCAGAGTTTAATTTTTAAGGTAAATTTTTATTGTAAAAAATATCTTCTAATTCTAATAATTAAACAATGTTTTTTTTTCTGTTATTTAATCTTTCTTTTTCAATCTGTTTTATTCCAATTTGCTTCTTTCTTTGAGCTCAATTAATTTATTTTTTAACTCTGGATGATTATATTTTATATAAGCGACTAGTTCTTATATTTCAAGTACCTTATCATCAAATTCATTTAAATGTGTATAATTTTAAAGATTATCTTAATCATTTTTCTTAACTTCATATAGTTTATTTTACATACAAATTATTGTTTTCTTTATTTTATGTTTTGTAAAATGTTTTTCAGTTCCACATATTTATTCACATTACTTTTGTTCCATTAATGGCTTTGTTAATTCTTTATAGAAGCATCCTTCACATATATAAGCACATATTCTGTCATGCTAATCTCTATGTTTTCCTAATTCTAATAAATCCCATAATAATTAATCTATTGTTAAATTACAAAATTTACATTTTAAATTTTAATCTTTATTCATTAATATTTTTATTCAGATTATTATATATTAAACTAAAAAATATTTTTTTATTTTATAATATATATAAATTGTATATTCAATATTTTAAAAATCAATAAAATAAAACATTTATTTATTTATTTTTAAAAAAAACTACTTTTAATAAAAATGATTAATTAGTAATAATTTTTTAGTACGCAATAATTGACAACATAATAATAGCAATTTCCTTTATATCCAACAAGTCCTCATATATTCCCATTGGTGGCGAATCCTTAAAAAGAATCATTTACAATATCTTTAGATGATGCTCCAGAAACAATTCGATTATAATCTTAAAGGATAGCTAGATTAGAAGAACGATATGATTTATTAGTAAAACATTATTAAAGATTAGAAGCTAATTCACAATACAAAGAATAAGAAGTTAAAAATTGGTAAGTTAGATGTAATACCCTTTAGTCTCATTTATGTAAAATTAATATAATCACAAAACATTTTAAATAATTATATTTAAAAAAAAATAGAAACACCTTACAATAGAATAAATGAATTATAATATGAATAAAATGAAGTTAATAACGATTGGTAAAGGTTATAGTATTTAATAAAAACTGGAGTTGAAGATTAAAAAGGCTTAGAAGTATTATAATAATAAAAAAAAAGTGATGTAAATTTTTGGAAAGAAAAAACTAAAAATACAGAAAAAATGCATATAAATATTAAATCATTTTAGGAAAAAATTAGATTACTTTAATTAGAAAATTAAAGACTTTAAAAGGTAGTTGTATAGAATTCAAATTATAATAAAGAAAATATAAAATGGGCAAATATATGATAAAATTTATATTATTTACCACAGTTTAATATAAAAAAATCATTATATTTTTATTTATACTTCATTTTAAATAAATAAATAAAACTAATTATATATACAAATATTTTTTTATTTTTTTAAATATCATTATTTTTATTTTATAAAAAAATTAAAAATTTTATCTAAAAAATGATGGCTTGAATAATTAAACTTTTTTTATAAAATTTAAAACTTTTAATCTTATCTGTAATAATTAAAATTTTATTTATTTATTTAATAATTTAAAGATTTTTTTATAAATAAAAATATATTATATTCACTAAACAAAATTACAATTAAAATATTAAAAAACAGTTATCATAGTAAATAGCCGAACAGTACACAAAAAAAAAAATTAGTACTGATATAATACCTTAATATGGATAAATTGGATAAATATTAATACATATTTAAAAAATTATAGACTTTTTTAAAATAATATGTTTAATATTTATTATTATAATAAAAATACTAAATTTAATATATATTTTCAAAAAAATATAATTAGTTAAATAAAAAAAAAAAATTTATAATAAATATTATATGTTTATTATTTAAAATAAAAAAAATAATAATAATAATAGTGTTTTACCTGCAACATTTAAATAAATATAAATAAACTGGGTTTATCATTATTTAATATTATTTGAATTTAAATAATTAAAAATAATATATAAATATATTGTTTATAATGTATTTTAATTTATATTTACAATATTTCTAGTATATAAATAAAAAAATTTAATGTATTAAAAAAATATTTTTTTTTTTTTTAACGAAAAAAAATAAAAAAAAATTAATTTATTAATAATTTAATTATAAATGATTTATTAAATCATTTTTAATTTATTTTTTCATAAAAAATATAATTTTTTAATAATAATAATAATAAAAAACAATATATATATATAATAATAAACATATTGATAATATTTAAAATTATTATAAATATATTAAATAAATAAAAATTTTCATAAATGTTAATAATATTTATTAGTATATTTTTTTTTAAAAAAAATTAATATATATTTTTTTTTTATTATAATTTTATTTAAATTAATTTAAACATCTTTTTTTTATATAGATTCATTATTTTTTTTTATAAAAAATAATTCAAATATTTTATATGTTAGATTATAATTGAAAGAATTAATATAAAATAAAATTACTATTTATACATTTATTTATATTTTAAATATATTATACTTTAAATTAATATATTTTTATTATTTAGATTATTAAAATATTTTTATCTATATAATATTCATTTATAGTTCATAATATATATATATATATATATTATATATACTGAATTATTTTAAATATAATATTTTTTAATAATTAATGTTATGTAAATTTTATTTGTTATTTCAATATATTTTATTATATTAAATTTTTAATTTTAATAAGATTCATAATATTTTTATATAATATTTATTATTAATTAATATATTTATAATATTCATTTATAGTTCATAATATATATATATATATATATTATATATACTGAATTATTTTAAATATAATATTTTTTAATAATTAATGT